TGCCTCTGCCTGTAGGTATACTGCAGGCAAGGTATCCTCCTCATTAGACTAGGAGGGACGTGGTATGTTAGGATCCGTCCGTGGTAGTTCTGATTGTGATGCTTGACGATTGGTGGAGGCCCTTTTTAGTGCTCAAGATGCATGTTTCTTGGCAGCCATATCTGCACAAAAGTGAACTGTGAGCGACATGGCAAACAACAGTGCAAAAAATAAAGAAAAAATTAAAGAAGAAGTTAAGAATGCGACAGGTATGCGATCGCATAACCACTATGCGGACCGCAAACCTGTCGCAAACTTGCAGCTCTGGAAATGACACAAATATGCAATGGGTTATGTGATCGCATAAACACTATATGGACCGCATAACCATCGCAAACCTGATTCCACAGAAAACCAAAACCTAAAATGCGATCGCAAATCCCACCGCAAAGTAGGAAATGGGATCGCAAAATGATCGCAAAAATCATGCTGAGAAACTGGATGCACTGACTCAGTATGCGTTGAGTTTACGGTTCGCATATCAACTATGCGATCACAAACTCGCCGCATTTTGTCATATTCTTTAGCCAACCTAGGGTTCTGATATGCGGTAAAAATGCGAACCGCATTTGGGTTTTGCGAGCCGCATAGTCCATCATCCCAATCAATTCAACCTAACCCTTAATAATGGCAGCCCTGTTTCTTGCTACCCAGCACCCCAATTACATTTTCTATGCAGAATCGACCACGATATGTACAAACAACTATGAAAAACAACACAATAAAAAACGCAGAACAAAAATAAAGAAAAACACAGAAGAGACAGACATGAAATTGGAACTAGAGAATTAGAGCAAGCACACATACCAGTGAAGATGAGTACATGCCCTATGGAGATTACGAATGGGTGTTCGTCCTTTGTCAGACTTGATCACTAGCCGTTTTTGCCCCTTTTTCGTGCTGTGTTTGCCTCTCTTTTCTTTTCGTTCTTTTCTCTCTTTTTTTTGTTTTCTTCTGTTAGAAAAATATTTTTTTGTTTTGTTTTTAATGTGTGAGAGATGAGAGAATGCGACGACTTACCTGACCACTTTGCAGTTGGAAAATCACCGCATAACGCACTATGCGACCGCATAAGTGGCATGCGGTGGATTCAATTAACTTGCTGAAGGGTGACAATGCGGTGCACAATGCGATCGCATAGTTGAAATGCGGTCCGCAAAGTGCACCACCTAGTCGCATTTTGCCCAACGATTTTAGCCAAACTCACTGTTTTGGTTTGCGACCAAAATGCAGTCTGCATAGTGAAAATGCGACTGCATCTTTGCAGCAAACTTCACACAGTGGGTTTTCTTCCCTTTCTTATGCATTCCTACCCTGTGTTGTGATCTTTTGAACTGCACTCTAACACACACTTTAAATTGCTCCAGTAAATCTATCTATTAAAAATTAAAAACTTTAAAGAACAAAAAGGGTGTTACCACACATGGGTTGCCTCCCATGAAGCACTTGATTAACGTCGCGGCACGACGAAGTTGGTGTTCTTTTGGATTCACTCAATGGTCGGGCACAGACCACCTTTGAGAGCCAGTTGCTCCACCAAATATTTTTTCTCCATCTGTCCCCAAGTAGTGTTTGATTCGTTGGCCATTTACTTTGAATATCCGGAGCCCATCTTCCGATGCTAGTTCCATAGCTCGAAAAGGAGAGACAGTGACCACCTTGAATGGACTGGACCATTTTGATTTGAGCTTGCCCGGAAACAATTTGAGCCTTGAGTTAAAGAGCAATACCAAGTCACCCGAATTGAACTCTTTTTTTAAGATCTTCTTGTCATGGACGAACTTCATCCTTTCTTTGTACACAGCTGCACTTTCATAAGCCTGGAAACGGAATTCCTCCATTTCATTGAGTTGTGTTAATCTCAAATTTGCAGCTTCATCCCAGTCCAAGTTTAACCTTTTCAACGCCCACATAGCCTTGTGCACTAATTCCATGGGTAGATGACAAGCTTTTACAAAGACTAACCGATAAGGAGAAGTACCAATAGGAGTCTTGTACGTTGTGTGGTATGCCCACAATACGTCATCTGGCTTCCTTGACCAGTCGGTCCTGTTTGCATTAACAGTCTTTGGTAGAATACTCTTGACCGCCCGGTTGGAAACCTCAACTTGACCACTTGATTGCGGATGATAAGGTGTGGCTACCTTGTGCTTGACACCATACTTCTCAAGTATCCCCATGAAAGCCTTGTTACAGAAATGAGACCCACCATCACTAAGAATGGCTCTAGGAGTGCTAAACCGAGTGAAAATGTTTTTCTTTAAGAATGTGGTCACACTCCTTGCCTCATTGTTTGGTAAGGCAATTGCTTCAACCCATTTGGACACATAGTCCACAGCCACCAAAATATATGTTATCCCACAAGAACTTACAAAGGGCCCTATGAAATCAATTCCCCACACGTCGAAGATCTCTATCTCTATCACAAAGTGCATTGGCATTTCATGCCTCTTGCAGATTAAACCTTGTCATTGACATTTGTCACAAGACTTGACCATTTGATTGGCATCATAATATATTGAAGGCCAATAGTAACAACATTCAAGAACCTTAGCCGTTGTTCGATTTCCTCCATGATGACCCCCAACCAGTGAGTAGTGGCATGCCTTTAGAATTGGCAAAATCTCTTCTTCCAGAACACACCTTCTGACAATATTGTCAGCACAAACACGGAACAAGAATGGCTCTTCCCAATAGTATTGCCGGTAGTCTCTCAAAAACTTCTTCTTTTGATAGGATTCCAATCCATTCGGGAAAAGGTCACTAACTAGATAATTAGCAATATCGGCATATCAAGTAGCAAAAGTGCTAGATAGTGCCAATATGTTTTTATCCAGGAATGCATCGTTGATTTCAAGATCTCCCTTTGGTCTCCCTGCCTCCTCAAGCCTTGACAAATGATCTGCCACTTGATTTTGAGTTCCCTTGTGATCCTTGACTTCGAAGTCAAATTCTTGCAACAACAAGACCCATCAAATCAACCGAGGCTTTGCATCCTTCTTTGCCATGAGGTAGCGAAGAGCCGCATGATCTGCGTACACAATCACCTTGGATCCCAACAAATAAGCCCGAAACTTCTTAAAGGCATAGACAATGGCAAGAAGTTCTTGCTCTGTTACCGTGTAATTCATTTGTGCCTCATTGAGTGTTTTGCTTGCATAGTAGACCGGGTGGAGAACTTTGTTGCGACGTTGGCCAAGCATTGCTCCAATAGCTACACCACTGGCGTCACACATGAGCTCGAAAGGAAGGGACCAATCGGATGTGACAATAATAGGTGTTGTGGTGAGCCTTTGCTTCAATTCCTCAAAGGCTTTGAGGCATTTCTCATCAAACACAAACTTGGTATCCTTCTCAAGGAGTTTGCACATAGGGTTTGCAATTTTGGAAAAATCCTTGATGAAGCGCCTATAGAACCCGACATGCCCCAAGAAACTTCGAACACCTTTCACGGAAATAGGTGGAGGAAGCTTAGAAATAATCTCGATCTTTGCCTTGTCGACCTCTATGCCATGCTTTGAAATTTTATGCCCCAACACAATACCTTCGTCCACCATAAAGTGACATTTCTCCCAATTGAGCACAAGGTTGGTCTCTTTACATCTCTTAAGCACTTGTCTGAGATTGTGAAGACAATGCTCAAAAGAATCACCAACTACCGAGAAGTCATCCATGAAGACTTCTAGAAAGTCCTCTACCATGTCGGAGAAAATGGACATCATGCATCTTTGAAAAGTGGTCGGAGCATTGCAAAAACAAAATGGCATCCGGCTAAAGGCAAAAGTTCCATATGGGCAAGTGAAAGTCATTTTCTCTTGATCCTCCAAGGCTATGTTGATTTGGTTGTAGCCAGAGTATCCATCAAGGAAGCAATAGAATGACCTTCTCGCTAGCCGATCAAGCATTTGATCAATAAAAGGCATAGGAAAATGGTCTTTGCATGTGGCACTGTTAAGCTTCCTATAATCCATGCATACCCTCCATTCGGTCACCATTCTTGTTGGGATGAGCTCATTTTTCTCATTTTCGATCACAGTCATGCCTCCCTTTTTCGGCACACATTGCACCGGGCTCACCCAAGAACTATCGGCAATGGGGCAGACTACCCCGACATCCAACCACTTGATGATCTCCTTCTTTACCACCTCTTGCATTGAGGGGTTCAACCGTCATTGATCTTCCACACTTGGTTTTGTCTCGCTCTCTAGTTGGATCTTGTGTTCACAAATTCCCACGGGAATCCTACGGATGTCCGAAATTGTCCATCCAATGGCTTGCCTATGCTCTTTCAAGACATCCAACAATCGTTCTACCTGCACATCATTCAACAAAGAAGAAACGATTACCGGTAAAGTATCATTTGAACCAAGAAATTTATACCTCAAGTGCGGTGGAAGTGGTTTGAGCTCTAGTTGTGGTGGCTCAATAATAGATGGCTTTGCGGGAGGCGTGGCTCTATTCTCAAAGTCGAGAGAGAGCTTTTCTGGAACATAAGTGTAAGAACCAAGCCCCTCCAATGCATTTACCGATTCCATATATCCATCCATATCCTCACCATCAAAGATCACCAAAATAGCCGCCAATGCTTCGCCGAGGCATTGTTCTTCCATTTTTATTTCAACCGCATCCTCTACTTCATCAACAATATTGATCACTGAGATGCTTTCACACTCATGTGGTAGTTTCATACCCTTTATTGCTAGGAATTTAACCTCTTCATCATTCACACGAAATTTAATATCATTCCGTTCCGAATCCATGAGTGCTCTTCCCGTGGCAAGGAATGGTCTCCCCAAGATGATAGGGATCTCTTTGTCAACCGCACAATCAAGGATTACGAAGTCGGCGGGTAAATGAAATTTTTCCACCTTCATAAGTACATCATCAATAATTCCCACCGGGCGTTTGATGGAACGATCGGCCATTTGCAATCTCATACTTGTGGGCCTTGGCATACCCAATCATGCTTTCTTGTAAATGGCAAGAGGCATCAAGTTGATTCTCGCTCCATTATCACAAAGGGATCTTGCAAAATCATGTACCCTGATGGTACAAGGAATGGTAAGAGCTCCCGAGTCCTCTTTCTTTTGAACAGGTGATGTTGCAATGATGGAACTAACCTGGTGAGTCACATTCACCACTTCATTTTTGGTGGTTTTCTTCTTGGTGATCAATTCTTTCAAATACTTAGCAAAACCCGGCATCTCTTGAAATGCTTCCACAAATGGGATATTCACCGATAATTGCTTGAGAATGTCGTAGAACTTCTCGAGTTTGCTATCATCAACCTTCCTAGCGAGTCTTTGAGGGAATGGAGGAGGAGGTCTAAGAATAGGTGGAAGAGTTTTTGGTGTCTGTTTTACCTTTTCCTTTACCGCTTCCCGGTTCTCTTCTTGCACTTGCGCATCTTCCGGAATTTTCTCAATTTCGACAACACTTGGCTCTTCAACCTCAACACCTTTCTCTAACTCTTCTATCTCAACCACTTGTTCACCCTCTCCTTGTAGTATCTTCCCACTCCTAGTAGTAATTGCCATGACATGAGAAGTTGGGCCACTCCCACTACCCTTTGGGTTCACAATTATGTCACTAGGAAGTGTTCCCTTTTGCTTTGGATTTTTCTCCCTAGAGAGGTCTCTTATTTGCATATACAATTTTTGAATGGATGCGGTATAAGAGCCAACAAGCTCAGTCATGTTCCTCATAGAAGTGTCGGATTTTCTTGATTTTGCAATACCCGTTCAAGCATACTTTCCAACTTAGACTCGCTTGAGGAACCTTGATTTTAATAGTGACCCTTTGGGGGAACATAAGGGTTTGAACTCCGGTTTGAGAAGTTGTTGTTGTTGTTCCAATTTCCTTGGTTTGAGCCATCTTGGTCATTTCGCCATTGTTGGTGGCCTTGCCCTTGCGGTTTTGGCCTCCATTGTTTTGTTGTCCTTGACCTTGGTATTGTTGCCTTTGGTACCCTCTTTGAGAGTTGTTGACATAATTTGCTTCCTCAAAATCCTCATTGGATACGGGTTGCACATCCTCAATCACATTTACCTTCTTTGTTTGTCTTTCGGTGAACATCTTTGTCAACACATTAACATTTGTAGCAAGCCCTGCAATCACTTGATCTCTCTCTTGATTTTCCTTGATCATGTTACTCAAGGAAGGAGAACCATATGTAATTCCACCTGTAGTGTCCTCGGAGTGCCACGCTTGATTATATTTTGCCATTTGTCAAGTATTTGTGTCACCCTTGCGAATGATTTGTCCATGAAAGATCCGACAGCTGCATTCTTGGCTATAGATTGGTTCATAGGATCCAAGCCCATGTAGAATTTCTCCAACAAAGTAGAATCCGGAAAACCATGGTTGGGAGACCTCACCAAATATAATTTGAAACGATCCCATGCCTCATGTAGATGTTCTCCCGGTACTTGCTTGAAAAAGAAAATTTTATCCCGGAGCTCCGACTTCTTACTTTGCGGGAACCATTTAGATAAGAAGGCTCGGAAAAGTTCGGCCCAAGAATGAATGGAGTTTGGGGGCAGATTTTGGATCCATTTCCTTGCGTCCCCAGCTAGAGAATACTTGAAGCATCTCAACCTTAGGGCATCATCAGAGACATTATTCTGCTTATGCATTGCACACACACCCAAGAAGTTTCTAAGATGTTGTGTCGGATCATCATCAGTGGAATTCCTGAAAAACCCCTCCGCTTTGAGCATAAGGATTAAACCATGTTCCACCTTGAACGTTGCAGCGCCAACAGCCAGAGGTACAATAGCATTTGTATCCTCAATGTACTCCTCGATGTCCACAAAAGGATTTTCTCCCATTTCTGCCTCTACGTCATATCCATACTCATACATGTTTTCCTATCAACACCAAGCAAAACAAGCAAAGTGTGATGGAATAAAATAAGACGTAAAGTAAAGCACACACTAATTAGTAATTTCAAAACCGTATTCCCCGGCAACAGCGCCAAAATTTTATATTCGCTCAAATTACACTTTAATAAATAGTGTAAGGCGGTCGGTGTCAAATATAATAACCCAACAAGGTTGGGGTCGAATCCCACAGGGAATAGGTGCGACAAGGTTACTCGATTAGTGTGTTGCTCGACTAAAGTCGTAGTTCTATCCAGTTAACGGTAACAAGACTATGAATTGAGTTTGATTTGAAGTAACAGCTAGTTGAAATATTGAGAATGTAAATAATTTGATTAAAGAAACCAAGGTTGTGTCCCCTTTAATGAAGTGTAATGCTATCGGTGTTAATATGATATATTTCTAATGGAAGGTCCTTTTGATATGCAAATGATGTCTAAATGTCTACCCAATATTTTTCAATAGTTGGGTAGTATTTTCTTTTTATGATTTTTTCCAAATATAAAAGAGTTGCAATTAAGAACAATATTATATGCCAAATAAAACCCACTTATTCCTAAGAGATTCTATTAAACAAGGTTTAGAGCCTTGAGTCTTTGATATTTACTTCTTCCAAATTCCAACCCACTTTCCCAAGCAAAGCAAGAATTTAATGGCACTTGTTAATGTTTGCAACCACCAACAATAAATGAAGAATGAGAAGTAAATAAATATCACCCAACCATTATATATATATATTCAATGTTAAACACCCATTAACATAACAAACATTTAGGGTCCACAACCTTAGTATTTAAAGTTAGCTACACATGCTAAAATACAAAAGGAAGACACTATTTAATGCCATAAAGCTTACAAAGTGAAAGATTTTTGACCCAAAAGCTTCCAAAAGAGAGGAATATTAATGCCTTGTATTGTAGCTTCAAAGTCAGACCATATGAGCCCACAAAATCACAATAAATCTATTTATAGAGGGCCAAAAATTGAGACAGAAAACGGACAAAAATGCACTTTCAGGTCAAGTGTGCGACCGCATTTCTGTCGCAAATCATACATGCGGTCCGAATTCTCTACATGCCCATCGCACTTCAAAACCCTAATTTCCAGGCCGTCGTCGCATTGTGGGTTTGCGTACCACATTCAAGCTATGTGATCGCGTTCTGCGTCGTATTTTCCACCATCAGCACTTCTCTTCATGAGTTTGTGGTCCGTAAACCTGTTATGCAATCGCATTTTGGACCGCATTATTTGCACCAGATTTTGGCTAACTTTCTGTTTTGATTTGAAATCCTTTGCACCTTATGCGGCTCACATGTAGGATTTGCGATCGCATAATGCGTCGCATATCCACATTTTTTGCTATATTTTGCTCTTTTCTTGTCTTTTTGTGGCTTTTTGCTTTCATTTCCATGCTCTTGGGTCCTTAAACCTCATGTACTGCAAAAACACTAAAATTACATAAGTAAAGGAGGTAATTGCATTCAAAACAAGCTAAAATCTAATCAATTAGTATTGAAATGTGCCGAAATTCTCCGGTACATCAAACATCAGCCCTTTACAAAGTGGCATGGATTCCCCTTATATAGGAGAGGGAATACCATATAGTATAAAGTGTATTGAATGTAAAGACATGGGGATAGGATGGCTAGGCATGGTACTAGTGTCTATTGACTCTACACTTGCCTCGGGAATTCCCCGTATTTGGAACCTTCATCGAGTCGCGGATAAATTCCTTATCCTCGGAATCTCTGTAGGGTTGCGGACGAACTTCGAGGGAGGGAGCTCGATCATAATCCTACAGCCTCGAGATGCTGAAATGACTTCCCGAATGTACCTTAATGGTAGGAAATAGACCCCCATGATTTCACCACGTACAGATAGTCTCCGTGTTTCCTAGAATGAAGTAATAAGAAATGATATTGAATCATCGTCTTGAGGTCATTATTGCTATGACGTCAACAGTCTAAGAGCATTAAATGTCATGCCCCAGAGAACCGTGCAAAGCCACTGTCAGATGCGGTAATCGAGAAATCCACGAACTGTCATAAGCTTGTCTCTTCTACTTCCCAATCGATTCCTATAAATTAATCGGTTGCTAGATACTTCCCATATTCACCCTTCTTACAAGCGCGCGAGTCAGAATTTTGTTATTTGACATCCTTTCCTCTTTTCACAGAAGGGTTTTTAGCATTTTACATGGCTAGGACTTCTAGGACGGTTCCCGGACGGAACAATACTGCATCGTCGTCCCGATTACTTGAGGGAGAAAACAGGTCGGCTCCCACTTTAGAGCAATGTACCTCGCCCGATCTTGACACGTCAAAGGATTTTGATAACGAGACTCCCTCGTCTATGACGGGTCAGTGTGAGCACGTGTCTTGATATGTTAGCGTCGTGACCAATGTTAGGAAGGTGAGGGAGGACTGCCGATGGAGTAAGATAGTAGAGGTAGAAATTTCCGGCCCCAACGATAACATTACTAACTTCAAGGCTGGGTTCCTTTATTTATACACTTACCCATTCGCCCTAGGCCCTGATAAATCCATCAAATCTCCTACCTTGGAAATTGACCTGGTTATTCTTGACTTCTACGCCCAATACCAGGTGACACTTGGTCAGATCTACCCATCCTTTTGGAGGATAGTGTTAATGCTCAGACATTTCACTTAAGGGGTTGGGGGTGAGGTTTTTATCCTTAATCATCTAATCAGACTGTACCGCCCTCGGCTATATCGAGGTTTAATCAAGCTCCGCCACAGATCCAAAAAATCTTTTTTCATGAGCGTTGATGAGGGGAAGGACCAAGGATGGATGAGCAGGTTTATCCGAGTGAGGACCTAGGACATTATCTCGGCCCAAAGAATGCCCTTTCTAGAGTAGTGGAACGCCTGACGTAAGTGAATTTCCCTTTAACCGCTTCTCGACTATTCTTTCATTCGTCATAATAACCTCTTTGTGCTTTTCGCAGCCGCTGCTTAGCATCCGGAGGTGGTCCCAGATTTGTCGGATGGATCAGGCGTTTGAGAGAGAAGTTCTCGTACCGCGTTCGGTCTTGGACCGTCCTGGCTAAGGAGCGTTGGGTGGCCAAGAATCATGGTGAGGTTCCTCTACCACCTGTGCTTCGCATTTCATGTTTCCTTTTGAGCCCCTAGTGAAAACGTATCACGGTTGTTGCGTTGGTGCAGGTCTTGGTGAGAATATGCAGATGAGGCCGCCCCCTGACGGTAAAGAAAAGGCCTTGGAGCCTGGTACGAACAAGAAAAGGAAAAGCAGGGCAGCCATTGCCCGACCTGATGGGACTGCTGCTCTAACCTCTGGGTCGAATCCTGATATTGAAGGGGAGGATGATGATGGAAGTCTGTTGAGGAGGAGAACAACGTCCAGTGCGAGAGATTCGCAGGAGCCCGGTCGGAGGCCGCTTAGTCTGGAACAGCCGGCTCCGACCGGGCTTGTGACCCGAGGGTCCTTGAAGAGGATGCTGACGTAGCTTCGAATCACACGACCGGATTTGGTGTAGCTTATACTAGGAGGGTCGTTGGCGTGGATCCGGACGGATCGGAGCTTAGGGCCTTCCAGGAATGTGGGTTGCCACTTGGAGAAATCGGCGAACTGAACGACCTTATTGCGAACTTTCCGGTTTTATCAGGGGAATTGAGGGGTGCCGAAGGGATGATCAGTGCCACAGCTGGGACTCCTCCCAAAGGGTGAGACTTTATCGCCAACATTTTTGATGGCGTAATCGACAGGGCTGATCTCGATATTCCTGG